GTTCTCAACAGGAAAAATATGCTATTTTCTCACACCTTTCCAGGAAGTAATTTAAAAATATTTTGGCTCAGAATGAGGTGCAATTGTACTTTTAGGTTTTCAAACTATAAAGACTACTTCCAGCATAATGCCCTAGCACATAATCAACCACATCATCTCAGAGCTCTCACAGCACTTACTTTTATGTTGCCTTCTGTGCTTACACCTTTGTTTCTACAGAAAATAAGTTAATATTTTCTGAATATATGAAGAAACAAAAATTGTTCGTGATAAAAGAGCTACAGAATTATGGAACTGCTGATGTTGGAAGGCGCCTCTGGAGCCCACTCACACCAACTCCCCGACAAAAGCAGGTTTAACTGGCCGGGGCTGTTCAGGGCCAGCGGCAGCTGCTCAGTGCCACGGTCCTGTCCCCAGAAGCCAAAGCCATGTGCTTCGAGCGCACCCTAGCGAAGCTTTTTTTGTCTGCCTTAAAATCCTGCAAGTTTCTATATTTAACCATCAGGGTTTTGCTGCCTTGATGCTGGGGTCTGGATTTGAAAAAATACATTTATTAAAGAAAACGTGAAGATGTAGATGCCTCAGTACTTCATAAAAATCCAGCTGGGTATTTTACTCATCCATGAATTACACTGAATTACCTTTTGCAGTGATTCACTGAATGTGAATTACAGAAGTCTTCAAAAAGGTCTTAAAAAATTACTTTTTTTTTTTTTGAGTATTCTGCCTTCTATATAAATATTATGTTGCTGCTGTTACAAGAGGCTTGTGTTTCCATAAGTTAAAATCATAGAATATCTCAAGTTGGAAGAGACCCATAAGGACTGAGCCCAAGTCTCTGCTCCTTGCAGGACTACCTAAAATTAAACCACATGACTAAGAGCACATTCCAGATGCTTCTTGAACCCTGACAGGCTTGGTGCTGCAACCACTGCCCTGGGGAGCCTGTTCCAGCCATGCTCCCAGTGAAAAGTCTTTTCCTCATGTTCAGTCTGAACTTCCTCTGAATTTCTGGCACTTGCTCCTGTTAATTTCCATCAGCTGGGGACTGCACAGCTCTGTAGCCTATCCAGATGTCTCTGTAAGGCCTCTCTATCCTAGAGGGAGTCCACAGATTCCCAAATTTAGCATCATCAGCAAACTTCCTTAATGTACATTCAACTCCTATGTAGAGTTCATTTATAAAAACATTAAAGAGCACTGACCTAAAAGTGAGCTTTGGGTGCCTGACTGCCAGTTTGATGTAGCCCCATTTACTGCAACTCTGAGCCCAACCTGTCAGCTGGATTTAAGATAAAACTCCTTACTGGCTGTGTCTTGTTATTGACAAAGTAACTTCAAATATACAGTTGTGAATAAATATACAAAATAACCTTAAGAAAAGGATTCAAAAAATAAAGCCTTCAGATTTGTACAGGGTGTAAGTAATCTTGCAGCAGCCACTTGCAGAAAGTACCATAACAATAAAGAGACCTTAATAAGTGGTCCTGAAACCATTACACATGTAGGATAAACCTCTCTGAAGTGTCCAAATGAAAAGCACATGGCTAAGGTAAACCACAAGGAGACATCTATGTTTTTATTTACCACCACTATTAACTCTCCACTTCCAGACAATACTGTTAGTTGCTCCTTTATAATTCTTTGAATTACATTTGACTGTCAGGCTGTGATGTGCACTTGTGCTCTTACCTGGTATCTCATCTTTGGGCAAACTTCAACAAAATAACAGTGGAATCTCCTGCACTTACAGATGATTCTCCACTGCTTAAAGGAATACAAGGAAATGAAAAGGAAACCCCACCAGCTCTCTTACTTTGTGCTATGTTGTTTTTGTGCTACAACCGAACAATCCCCTCGTTCCAAAGACCTGCACAGGTGCCTGCACCAGTTTTGTTTTGCTGCTGAGTCCTGCAGGGCCAGCACGTGCAAGTGCACAGAAACCCATCTGACCAAGACATGTGGGACCACATGTCCCTATTCATGGTTCCCAGCTGTCAAAGCACAGCACATCCTCTAGCACTAGCCAGGCACAGAGCTATCTAGGTCAAACAGTACTTAACTATTCTCAGTCTTTGTCCTCAGCAAAGTGGCCAGACTATAGACAGCTAAATCTGTCTTTTGATGCAGTTTTGTAACACTCATCAAGAGCTGTGCTTGAGCTAACTAACATCAGCAGCTGGGACAGCACACTGGGAGATAACTGAGTGCTGACAACATGCATCATTCAATTCTTTCTACATTCTGTTCAAGATCACTTGGTAACACTTCCAAATCACTTTTAAAATATCATTTTATTTTGCTGTTACCTCCTTTAAAAAAGGCATATCCCTTCTTTCTAATCCAACAACTGCAAACAGCCCAGTCAATGGTACAAAGTCAAACAAAAAATAGTCTTTCATCAAGCTACAGTTTGGTCAGGAAGGAGCAATCACAGATCCTGGCCCTGCCCCATTTTCTTCCCTTGAACAAAGTCATATGTTGGCTGTGTGTGGGCTAAATGAGTGTCTCCTCTTAACCCTTTCCTCCTATGTAACAGTCTGTTCTGTCTGTAGAGACAATTGAATTAGCAGTTTGACCCTTTCCTGGTCAATGAAGGGTTTGTGTCTCATTATCTATTCCTTCTCACTGCTACTGAAGGAAAACAATCTTTTATGTACAGGTTGGGCAGAGAATTGATTGAGAGCAGCCCTGCAGAAGACTTGGGGGTGATGGTTCATGGAAAACTCAACACCAGCAGGCAATGAGCACTCACAGTTCAGAAAGCCAACCACGTCCTGGGCTGCATCCCAAAAGGGCAAGGGAGAGGACTCTGCCCCTCTACTCAGCTCTTGTGAGACCCCACCTGGAGTCCTGCATCCAGCTCTGGATGGAACATGGAACTGCTGCAGCAAGTCCAAAGGAGGTGATAAGGGGACTGGGGCACCTACCCTACACAGACAGGCTGAGAAAGTTGGGGCTGTTCAGTCCAGAGAAGAGAAGAGAAGGTTGTGTGGAACAAACCTGCCAGTATTTGGAGGATGCCTACAGGGAAGCCAGAGAGGGACTCTGTCAGGAACTGTAGTGCTAGGACAAGGAGCAATGGGTACACACTAAAAGAGGGGAAATTTGGGTTAGATATTAGGAAGAAATTCTTTACGGTGAGGGTGGTGAGGACTGGAAGAGGTTGCCCCCAGGGAGGTTGTGGATGTCCCATCCCTGTCAGTGTTCAAAGCCAGGTTGGATGAAGTGTTGAGCAGCCTGGTGTAGTAGGAGATGTCCTTGTCCACATCAGGGGCTTGGGACTAGATGATCTTTAAGATCCATTCCGCCCTCTAAAATTACATGGTATATTATATGGCATCACTGTGTGAGTAAAATAGAAGGTGAGGCTGGTTACTGAACAGCTCCCCAGGGCAGTGGTCACGACACCAAGTCTGTCAGAGTTCAAGGAGTACCTGGACAATGTTCTTAGTCATTTGGTTTGGATTTTATGGTAGTCCTGCAAGGAGCAGAGAGCTGGAGTCAGGGTCTCTTAAGGGTCTCTTCCAACTCCTTATGGTCTTCTTCTTGCAACTTGAGATATTCCATGACTATATGGTAAGTACAGTGGTACATGACAAGTATCACAAGTCACACTGCTCTTCTGGTACAGTTCACACAAATCACCTATTTTTTCCAATAAATAAATGACACAAGATATTTAAAACAGATGTAAAACCTTAATATTTTTCAGTTAAATGTGAAATCTTACGCCTTTTTAATAACACATGAGGGACAGGAAGCAGAACAAGAGTAACACTTAGGCAAAACCAATCCATTTTATTTCTGTCAAGTTAGTATTTCATTTTTACACAGTCAAATAACACAACTCCAGAGAACTATACCTCTTATAGTTTCCCATTAGTTATCACGACTACTGAAAACATACAAAGCACTTAGAACTTGTTTTAACCAGCCTGGAGTTTTTGTAAATCTTCAACTGTAACTGAATACCACACTCAAAACATCAAATATAGGTACTTTCCATACTGAGTTAGTAATATCAGATGAACTATCCTGCAACAGTACAGCATTGCAAAAATATCTCAGTAAATTTTGAATTAGAAGACCGTATCTGAAATTTAGAACACTGCTTGTACATAAAAGCCTACAGGCAACAACTTATCAGCAAAATCAGTAAACGGTTCAAATATGTCAATAGTTGTATTAAATAACACTTAGTGGACTAATAAACAATACCATTTGAAAAGAACTCTTCAGGAAGCTTGCAGTGGATATATTCACGGAATACTTTTGTACTACACCGTTCATAGTCTGAGTGGAACTGTTTATGGCAGGCAGGGATTCTTTGGCACAATGCATTTAAAATCAAAGCAAGGTGACCACACTTAGGTAAGGCAAACCCATATCAAGGCAGAGCTGTAACAGAAACCCTGTGATGACAGTGACAGTAACCAGCATGCTGTGTGTGTAGAGATCATGCTTAAAAATTATTCTTTGCAGAATGCAAAAGAGATATTAGCCAAACATTTAAGTAAGAAACTGGAACTCCTATACCTTCAAGAGCACACCACAAATCACTGTCTCCTCATGAGAAATTACCAATATTGTATCTTCTGTCATCAGTACTACATAAAGCTGGAACTGAAAAACCACAGCAAGCATATAAACTCAGCCATACTCTGAAGAAATAAAACTAAACCAGAGGAGTTACTCATATTAGTGCAGATAATGACTTCTGTTACGAAGAATTCCACTTTTGTATGCAAATCCAGAAAAAAAAAGGAATTCAGGAAAAGGAATTTGATAACAGTAGTTGAAATGGAATACATTTTGGCCAAATTAGGCTTCTAGCATACACCCCAAAAATGTCAAAACTTGATGATTCTGGGAAATATGTGCACCAACATAGCTTCTAAAATTCTTCAGAATGTAGCAGTAATAAATAAATTCAGAACCAAGAAATCTGTTTTCAATTAATTAACAAAATGTTAATTAAATAGTTATTAATTAACAAAATGTTATCTGCAGTAAATTTGTAAATTATCAGGAAAGAAAATTAGTAAGTTAATTGACTTCTGGTTTTGGAGGAGAAAAACATTTAAGTCAATTTAATTTAATACATGAGCATTTAATTCAATGTTTTTAATATAAATCAGTTGGGAGTGTTATTCTGGACACTACTTTTGAAAGTATTTCTGAATTTTCAATTTATTCAAGTTTTTCTTTTGAGAGTGGTGAAAGAAGTGTATGGGTGGGAAGAAAGTGAAATCTTTATTGGGTCATATTCTGCACTTGGTGTTTTTACAGCAAATTTTTTCAATTTCTTCTCTCAAAAATCTATACTAGGAAGACACATCTAATATGGGCCAAACAGCAATTAGACTACTTCATAAAACTACTAACATACCCTACCATTCAAAACCTGAGTGCTGCAATCAAATGCTATTCCTGAAATTCCCTGGGAGAATTTCTCTCTCTAACTCCTCCTTCTCACTCTCCCTCTTGCTCTGCTCTCCAACATTCACAGCTCCTTCATCTCTGATATGAAAGCACTGGGCTTCAAGTTGAAAATCTTGCTTCTTTCATGGAAAAAAAGAAAAGACAAAACAATGCTCATAGAACATACAGCACTCTAAAAGTAAATCCAAGCATGAGGGTATTTTATACACTTCTGTCTCCTTATCACAGAATAGGAGCATCTGTCTTTTCTAAAAGATTACTGCAATTTGAGTTATAAAAGTGAATGTGAAGAACTTTCTCATTGCTCTCTGATGACTTACTTTTTGCAGTCCTTGTGTCTTCAAACTAACAGGGCTAGAGACAGACACTTGTGACTGACTTGATTCAGTGACAGCTTTCTTCTCAACAAACTGAGTTTTTTCATCTTCTAGAAGTTTTTTCTCTTTCCCTAATTTCAGCTCCTCTTCTTGATGCATTAGCGTAAGATGTTCAAATTCAGTCAGTACCTATTTAAAGACAGCACAAAAAACAACATTTCCAACTGGCAACACAAGGTGGTGATATCACAATACAAAAACCCTCTGCAAAATAACACTAAAACCCATGTCAGCTTGTGTTAACAGTCAAACTGTTAAGATTAAAAAGCAGCAATACAGAAAAATAATAACTTTTATCAGACTGTTCTCATGATCCAGGATACTACACTCAAAGTACAGGTAGAAAACATGGAAGGCACTTAGTGAATACCAGATTCCCTACTATATATATATATATATTTTACTGTATCTTCATTGTATCAAAATAAGGAGGCCTTTAGAGCTAAACCAATTATCAACAGACAGATTAAATCAAGATGACTCAAGTAGAATATAGTGGGGAAGTGTATACTGCTCAGATTTAAATACAACCAGAGTTAGTCTGGTTGGGAGTTACTGGTGTGTTGCAAGAAGCTAGCTACTTCTCAGCTCTTTGACTATGTTTTTTTGACACACTAACGCATTTTTGTTTCCAGATGTATTTTAACCAGTTCAAACCTATTGTGAAGTTGTATGTGACAATAAATGAGGTACTTCATCCTTCCTCATCTCCCATTTCCCCACACACAAATTCTCCTAGAATCCTGCTTTTGCAAAGAAGAAACTAACTAAGACTATAAACATAACAGTATGCCTGCTGTACACAGCAGACCTGACAAATTTTATAGGTGCACCTGCAAGTCTCCTCTAAATGAATTATGTGAAAGAAATCTGAAGTTCAACAGAAATTCCTGGTTTTCTTTAGTTTCCAGATACAAATACAGCAGTAAGAGAACATGACAAATGTTCTTTAGGAGTGATTGCATGATCACTTTCCCACATCAGGAACTTAGAAAACTAATATCCATAATTCTGCAATATGTAGAGTTCACAAACCACTTGGTATAAATCATACAAGGAAAATATCAAAGGGTTAGCACAGATACTGCGTAAGACCTTGCTGAACCTGCTTTGAACATGACTAAGCATTCTTCCAATTGAACAGCCTCACACTGAGAAGGACTGAATCTCTTTTTTTCTCCCTCTACAAGTAGCATGGGGGTCTTAAGAGATTTAGAAAACAAATACTAAGCTGCCTTATGTAAAATATGCACGGGAACACCTCAAAAAACCTGCTACAGCTTTGCTGGGGGACTGACATACAGAGAAGGACATTAATAAAAATACACAGGTTTCCAATTTCAATTAAACCAATGTTTGAATATAAATACACATGACCACAATAAGAGTCTGGCAGAAAGTAGATGAGAAGATCCTATCTTGCTAGTCCAGCTTGACAGGACTAAATCTTCAAAAACAGAGCCAAGATACATTCCACATTTTCAAACAGCCTTAAGGCAGCTGGGAATAGATGAGATTTTGAAACCAGAACTGAAACAAACCAATAGAATACCAGACATACACACTTTCAAACCTCTCAGTATGAGGGCTGAGCTTAGATTTAATAATTAAATCTGGAAGTCAGGCAAACACACATGTCCCACTCTGAAAAGCCTGAGGAAAGACTTTTTCCTGAAGTTTTGTTTTTTACAGAGCAATCTACGCACAAAAAGCACCCACTGTGTTGTTATGGCATACCAGTGTTTCTCACATTGCTAAAGACAGCAAAGAAACACAAACATTATATTCATCACTCTCTTACTTCACTGCATCAACTCCTCCTCCACAGATGTGCACCAGCTACCCACCAATGCCTTTAGACTGTAAGCTCCTGCCTTCCCAAAACAAGATCTATTTACAGAATCACAGAATCATGTACGCTGCTGGGAGAGACCTTTAAGATCAAGTCCAAGAATGAATGCAGCACTGCCAAGTCCACCCTTAAACCACATCCCTAGGTGCCACATCTACACATATCTTAAATACCTCCAGGCATGGTGACTCACCACTTTCCTGGGCAGCCTGTTCTCCAATGCTCAACAACCCTTTCTGTGAAGATGTTTTTCTAATATCCAGTCTAAGCTTCCCGTCACACAACTTTAAGTCCATTTCCTCTCATGTTGTCACTTAGCAATTGGGAGAAAAGACAAACCTCAAACTCACTTCTCCTTTCAGGCAGTTGTAGAGAGCAATAAAGTCTCTGTCCCCTGAGCCTTCTTTACTTCATGCTAAACAACCCCAGCTCCCTCAGCTGCTCCTCATAAGACATATTCTCCTGTTTGCTGGTGTCTAATCAAACTGCTTTTGATTTAATGCATTACTGTCCTCAAAATATTAGGAAATTATAAATATCAACCAGTGATTTTGTTAAGAACTTAGCTGTTCCAAATCTCAGAAAACAAACTCAAGACAGACAGGCATGCTTGCCTGTTGCTCTGCCTCTTCCAACATTGCTGCTTTCTCCTTCACTCTCTGCACAAATCGTTGCCATATCTCCTCTTCTTTTCTTTCCACTTCAAGGCAGAACTCCAGCCTCTTTGTCTCAATGACTTCCTGTAGACTGAAGTTCAAAAATGTAAGCAACTCTCCAGCACGCTGCTTTATTCAGTGTGGAAAACCAACAATCCAGAAAATTATTTAAACAATTAATACTCATCTGAAATATTAATTTCTACAGCTTCCCACATAAAAATTCAAGAAGAAACCTAAACAGAAACAAGCATCTTATCTTTCTATTTTTTTATTTACGTAAACAACCCTGAGTTACATTACTTATGCTAACAGCTCCTGGGCAATTTACATTTCAAAGTAAATGCAACACTTCAGGCATCTCATGTTCTAAAGACTTGATTTATACCTTTCTGACTCCAACATGCATAAGCTTCTTCTTTAAGTTGCTTACTACTAAGACACTGAAATTGCCAGAAAAATCTCACAAAATTTCCACATTGTGAAACCTCAGTCTTCAAGTAGGACCATACAAAAACAATTAATCTGGAGCACTAATGTAACAAAAAACTGATTGCTCCTATATGAAAATGGAAGAAAATAACAGGATCTTCAGAACATATAGCACTCTTTTTTAATGTCAAAATTTAAATATGGCAGAATTACATTAATAGAGAATGAATTCAATTTCCTAAATAGTTCAACATCTAAAGCACAGGGTTGCTTTCCAACATGCAACAGCCAAAACCTCAAGACTGCTTGTTTTTTCCTGAACCCTCTCTTCCAGAAGTAAATAAGCTGCATATATCCTATACATACATTTGAAACTATATAGGAGGACTAAATTAGTTCAGATCATTGAGCAAATCTCTGGCAAAAAAAAAAAGTCAGGAAGTAAATCAAACATTTCTTTACTTTTAAATCGATGCCTCCCTTCTCTTTTCAGTACACAAGACAATTTCTTCCCTCCAAACAACAGGTACCTGAAATTGAGATACTTCTTTCATGTCAAAACATATCATGGCAAATTAAAAGATGCTAGTAATTTATTCATATGAATAAACTACTAGAGGTTTGACATTTTCAGAGTCTATACTAGTGCTGCCAGGCTGTGCTGGTGGGAAATGTTTGCTTTTCAAGAAATATGAATGGAGCTTGTGCACAGATGTACACCAAACCTCCTTTGAAAAGCAAACCTGCTTAATGACACAAGTTCTTCCATTAAAACATGAACCATAAACTTCTCTAAGTCACATGATTCCAGAGAGCACAACTGGAGGACCACAGCTGTTATAATGGTTATTGAAAACTCTAAAGCATTGTCTTCTATGACATTTGGCTTAAGAACAGCTCAAACCCTGGATAATGTTCTAGCTTTTTTCCTGGGGCTGTTCTTTACATGTTTTGCTGAGTCAGCCCTTCCCAGCTTACATGAGTTACTGTCCTTTGCCAGCTAACTCATGCCTTCCACCCTCATGTAAAATAAATAGGTATGTATATTATTTCACTTTGATTTATACTTTTAATATAAATACACACTTATGTTTTTGTCCTATCTTTTCCTGTTTCTATTTAAACCATTTATAAATGGAAAAACTTACCAAAAAAATCTAGAGAGTTAATTATTTAGAGCAATACTAAGCTTAAACAACTCTCTTCTATTTTTAAATTTATGGTGACTGGGCAGTTTCTCAATCCTAAAGTTTCTTATTTGTATTCAAAATATCATTTAAAGAGAGAAGAAACATCTTGAAATTGCACATGCAGACAATGTTCATAAGGTATCAAGGCCAGAGCTCCTCCTATTCTATCTTATTCAAGCACTACATGGCAACAAAATAAATTCAGAACAATTACCCTTTTGTGTTTGGGCTTGTTTTGGGGGCTTCTAATCAGCTGTGAAATAACTTAGGTCACCCTGAAATTCTAAATCCCTAAATCCACATGAAACAGGGGCATGGTTTTCACACAGATATATTAATTCACACTATCTCTAAGTTTAGACAATAATGCTACAGCACATGTTTTCCAAGTGCTAGCAATCTCACACTATTCAGGCTTCTGCACACAGTGTCAGTTCTGATAGATAAAATGCTGCCTTTGGAAATGATAAAGCTGCTAGAGCAAATGCTAGACTAAGTCAACATGCTACAATCACACCTTCATCTCTTTATGCGGACATCTTTAGACCCAGACTAGGTTACTTTATCAGGTAAAAGCAATTTTGTGTTAAAATTAGTAAAAGATTAATTTTGAAGACACTCAACTCAGTAAACAATCATATTACACATAAAAAGAAGGGAAGAAATAAAAGTGTATTTTTTAAATTTACTGTGCAGGTAGTTGTGGATGCCAGTATGTGTTCAAGTGGAAGTGTTCAAGGCCAGGCTGGATGGGGCTTTGAGCAACCTGGTCTGGTGGAAGGTGTTCTGTCCATGGCAGGTGGGTTGGAACTAGATGGTCTTTGAGGTCTCTTTCAACACCAACCATTCTGTGACTCCATAAAATACCCCCTTCTCCCTGGACTGAACTGCTCTGGGAATCACCAAGACAGAACTAAAACAAAATTTCTTTTTCTGTGTGCGACATCCCAGCAACACAATAGCCCAAACACACTTAAGTGTTAGGAGATTTGGGGAGGAAGGAAAAACAGTTCACCACATCTTAAGCCAGTCCTTTCAACATTACTTCATCCACTGCTCATAGTAAAATATTTTTTGGTTTATCTGAAGACTGGTTTCACTGCTTCTCTTTTAGTACATTATGAAAATCAAGTTCACAGGAACTCTCATTCTTCTGGGTTACACATCCAGAATGAAATACTCTGTACAAAGACACTTAAAAAATTTAAATGTTATAACTAACTATTTAAATAATGTATTCTTACTGAGGTTTTGAAGTAAGGGATTTTGAAGAAAGTCTAAACTGATCATACATTCCAGCACTACCACCTGCCTTTCTACAGAAGCATAGCTGTGACAGTTTTTTCTGTCTGTATGAGACTGAAAGCATGGAAGCCTAAAATTGCAAATGAGACACATTATGTTCATAAATAAAGACTCTGAAGTTAATTTAACTCTCAGTGGAACACAATGTGCACTTTGAACAACACAGGTATTTAAAGTTTATTCACTTCCACTTTTAAAAGCTTTCAAATTTGAATGTAACACTTGTAACTTTTTGCAGAACATCTGACTATTAATTAAGGTATATCAGAAAAACCAAAAAGAAAAAATTAACTAGTGGCAGGTATTTCTGGCACTGTGCTTTGACTCAGGCGACAAGCTCAGTTGATTATTGAGCAATAATAAGGATGTGGTAGACCTAAAGAATTATCAATTTTTCAGTAGGGGCAAGAAAGCCAGGTATTTTGGGTGTGGCCCAATCTCATTCTAAGATGGTTAAAATATTTAGCTCAAATGCAAAGGTCTGCAGCTGGTCAGATGAACTCCATGGCCAAGGACTTCTTAAGGAAAAGGTCTAACAGCCTTTCAAATGTTAGGTTTCCTTTCTTAGACACGAAAAGAGTCACATCAACCTTCCTCTACATAAAAACTTCTTCATGTCACTGACTCCTTCCTGGTTTTCTGTCATCATCTTCAAAAAAACTGAAAAATAAACAAGTTCAAGAGCTGCATGGTCTAAATATCCCAGTTTCAGGGAAGAAAAAAGCAAGGTATGACTCTCCACACACTGAGAAACCAAGATGCTTATGTTACAATAATGTTTAATTGCAATTATAATGGAGAACAAACTGTAATTACGATGACAGAAGAACAACTAACCCAGAGAATGATTAACATTAGCAAATCTAAACACACAAGCATACAGCCTGAATATCAATCCTCAGCTTTTTTCAACAGATCCTGGTCTATTACTTTACTTCTTTCAAAACGAAAATGTGCCCATAGGCAACAACTTAAATTGAAAAACGGACTCAACAAAACGTCCAACTTTAGAACACCAGCAATCCTCTCCTCCCTTGCTAATGCCTAGGCTAACTAGGTATGTGTGTGTGTATATTTAGAAGTTTGTTTCCCTGGAAGCACTCCTCATGTCAAGATTTCTGTTTTCAATTATTCCAAATTTTGCCATTCAAAACATCTCAGCAATTATCTCTTGCTGAGAATGACCAGAAACTGGAATTCATGTTCCTAATGGGCATAATTGGACCAGCAAAACAGCAGGACCAGACCATCTGCACACACACAAAAAAGTTTATCTTTACCTTTCAACAACAAAGAAATGCAAATGCCAATTTTAATTAGGAAAAATTATAAAATTATAAAAAATTAACTTCTGAATTTCATATCCAACAGATACTGCATAAAATGCATAAACCACATTCTAAATACTCTGCTATCCATTGACTTCATTACTTCATTCTTAGAATGCAATTGCAAACTAACAAGAAGTTATTATGAAATAACTTCACCAAAATTACAGGATTTGGGAATAGGTGTTTTTAAAAGTGTGCACAAGACAGTCACTTCAGACTACCTTTATTCTCCCTTCTCAGACCCAGTAATAAAGATGCAAATATATTTTTCTGCTGTATGCTGAAACCATCTCTTTCCACGTCACCCATAAAAAAGGTAAAACCTGCCAACATGTTTTTCACATATGTAAAAGTGTGTTTTACACACATGTTAGAGTAAAAGGCTTTACAGATATCTGCCCACAACCCCTCCCACAAGGCAGCTGGACATCCAAGAATTACTGGTTTTGCCTTGCAGTGGCATACAAGTTTGGATGAATAAACTAATGTCCTACTTCTAAATCCAAAAGGGTAGTACAGGAACTTCACAGGCAGCTTCTTCCCAATATGCCAAAAATCATGGCACATTTGCTACTCAAGTGTCAGTGTTCAAAGGCTACAAACAGCCAACTACTCAAGTCTAGCAAAGGGTTTCTAAATCTATGTTATTATCAAATTTAATATGTAGACAGCTACATCATAGGCACAAAATATGAATTCTCAACATGCATTTTGATCATTATTTATACAACTAGCATGAAATTTTAATCTTCAGGCATATACTGCTATGCAATATTAATTACTCTAAAACTACACCTCTTAGAATTCACATGTATATATTGTAAACATCTTTAAGGATAAAGAGGATGACAATTTAATAACACAGTTTTGCCTAAAACAACTGGATAGTCCCTATTCTAAAAGTTATTTAAATGTACAAGCAAACTGGGAACCACTGAACTTCCTCACTGTAAAAAGACATTTTCCATCACATTGCTGAGGATCACACTTTTTATTGTTCCCTCAGTAACTTGATAAAGCACCTTATGGGTAAGGCTGCATTAGACTGCTAATTACACTGCATGCACATCCTCTAAATTCTCTTCCTTTTCTATAGTATCATAAAATGTCTCTCCCAAAACACCAAACACCTTCTCTCTCAGACCTCCGTGTCATTCACTATGCCACACTACTGAGGGACAACCACATATATCCTAGTCTTACTTTTCTCTTCCTGTTGCAGTAAGTCTGGGAAAATGGTCATTTTTCTAGATTCTTATGGGATATCTATTCTCATCCTTCCAAAACAATGACATTTTCAATAGAACTGATTTACCAAAACTAATTAGTAAGTGTATTTTCTTGCCAAAGCTCTCTCAATAAAACTGACATCTAGTGGGCCATAGGTAAAATCTACACACCAGAGAGAACTCAGCTCCTCTGTATATCCAAGAAGCAGACAATTTCTAAATGAGCTCTGAAGTGTAAAATACTGGGACATTCTGATGTCAATCTGCCACTTCAGCCTTTTTACAAAACATAAACTGTGCAGGGGTTTTACAGATATAATTCCTCTGCTTGTAGAAGAAAACACTTCTATGAATGATGGTTTTTATAATTTAACTTTTATCCTGAGATGGCTGTACGCCATGAAATGGAGCTTCAGAAAAGCTGAAGGTACTCAAGTCAATACTGCCATGAACAAATCTCTAAAAAAAAATCTTCCCTAGACAAGGATAACAAGACATCAGCTATGAACAGCTATTAACACACGTTCTTAAACATAAACCAAATGAAAATTCTGTGATTAATTTCAGTTGGTTTTAAACCTCTTTCACCTTTGGTTCTCTTTTTATGAAAAGGATGTATTACATTCTTGTTAAGTGAAATGTCAAGAGACCACTGATTCAAGGTCAGCTCAACATCATCTAAATGAATTAATTTGTAAATATGCCTTGGTTCAAACAATGAGAAACTGTTTTTAAAGCAAAGTTTTATTCTGTTTTCATGCCTGGTTTAAGTCAATATTTCCCACCACAACTATGTAGTAATGGTGCTTCACTAAACCATGAAGGCTTGAACAACTCACAAAGCACCAGCTCTTCCCCAGCAGGACTCTGGGACCAGTTAAAATTACAGTCCCATGCATTAAAAAAAACCCAAAGGAAGACGAAGACAAGAGAACTGGAAATAAAATATTAAACAAAATGGATATAAAATTTTAAATGCTTCCTGCAGAAAGCAGCTTTACTACATGAAAAAACTGAGTGTCTATAACCTTCCTTATAACTTAACTTTCCTTTGAAATCCTCTTTTAACTCCCTATAGTCCAGCAAAAGATTTCTTGACCTGAAAATGCTCAGACATTTGTTATTATGGCAGATAATGTGGGAAGTCAACAGTGTAACCACTTATTTTGTAAAAGTTTTTGCTTCAGTTCCTTCTGAACCTGGAGTCCAACCAAACTATTATTTATAATCACATATTCTTAAGAAAGAAAATAAAACATAATACTAATATATAATGAAAATAATTTAAAAGCTTGTAAAGCATAGATACCTAAAGAAAACAGACATGCTTCCTGAGGAAAATTTAAATCCTCAGGTGTATTATAGAAGAGAAAAAAGAATGCTGACTTACCATGAAGGTAACTGAATGAACAGCTACATCCTTCAATTATTCTTTCCCTTCTTAGAAAACTTATTTTATGTATGAACGCTGCTCTGCATTGGGTTGATGTGAAGTGAATGGATGCTGAAAGCAAGTGCTGCACACCAAGTCCTTTACCTGACTGATTTGTTCTCAGGGCCAATGTCTCTGCAACCCAACTTCTCCAGCCTGCAGCGCCTGTACGACTCATAATACGCACGAGTCTTATCCTTCAAGTCTTCCATATTTATGCAAAGCATCCTGCGGAGCTTTATTGTGTCACAGTGGTTCTCATTTTCCACTAATCAGTAAAAAGATGATTTTATTATTATGCAGAAGTAGCAAAATAGTCAAAATAGATTTTAAACATCATCACTTACTTTGTTCACTAAATATACTTCTAGGAAAAGGTTATCTTGTTGTTTATTATACCTCTTACACTTCTTTATCATTTTTAATATACACACTGAAGTACTGAAGACCTGTAAGTACTGGTGAACATATTCAACCTGTCCTGATTTCCTACTTGAGCTGAAGACAACCACGTTTCTCTCTTTTTTAACCCTCTTTACTGACAATCACAAATGTCTGAAATTTGGTAGTGCTAGAGGTACTGCCACTATCCTAACCCGTTCAAATACTACCTACACTGTCTCATACTTTGATCCCAAGAATGCATCAGGGTGGATGAAATTACAAGTTAGTGGATGTCTCTATTAATTGCTAAATTCCTTATAGTGTTGATCCAAAATACAATCAGCCTGGCATCAATGAAACAGCCCCTTGTATTATTGGTGAATTTTATACTTCAACAACAGCAAAAGCTCATAAAGATACTTTTAAGAATTCTTTTACCTTTTACAATGCCCCAAGGGTATTGACGAGCTCTCTCCATTTTGTTTCCAATTTTCACCTTCTCCATACTTCCTACCACGGCAAACGGCAAATAACCCTGTAGGAGATGTACCAATTAAGTCTTATCTGTCAGCACTCTTATGTAAAAACATTGAAACACCTCAGAAACAAATTAGGGAGGAAAACACCATTTCAGGAAAAGCCAACAAGCAGTTTAAAACCACCCCCAGGAGATCACTAGCTAGGTAGTATCTACTCACAAAAAACTCAAACTACAACAGAAGCAGAAGGAGCAGTTGACAGGCCCAGATGGGTGTGTTGAGGGGAACCTCAGCAGGCTGGAGAAATGGGCCAACAGGCACCTCACAAAGTGGAAATGAGGGCAATGCTAAGTCCTGCATGTCAGGAGGAATAAGGCCATGCCCCAGCACACACTGGTGGCTGACTGTCTGGAAAGGCACTTTGCAGAATAAGACATGGGGGCAACGACCTGGTTAAAGCAGGTTGTTCCTGACTCAGCAGGTCTGTCCCAATGGCAAAGGCAGCCAACTATACCCTGAGCTGCACTAGGAAATGTCAGCCCCAAACAGAAAACTGTTCTAGAACACACATTCAATCAGAGCTCATACCCCAGTAACACTCACGCGACAATCACACATTGGAGCCTGTGCTGTGGGCTTGGCACAAAGACAGGCTGGGCACTGCCTGCCTGCTTGCTGACCCACAACAGCTGACCAAATAAAGAAACACCATTACCTGGAAAATAAATCACTAGCAAAGCATGGAAGTGGTCAGTAACAAATCACCACTTTTCCCCACAGCAAAAGGACCTGTTACTGATGGACAGCTGCACATTGTCACTCCCTGGCTGGGTAACAGAGGTTGGGAATGCACAGCCATGGGCTCCAGCATCCTGGCTCCTGTTCCCCACTTTCAAACCCCCCCACACACAAACATGGTCAGGTGTACCTAGAAACACATGCAAGAGAGCAGCAAATGCAGAGCACTCAAGGCAAAGCCATCTAGCTTCACAGCCTTAGCTGAGAGCTGGCAGCTACCTCTGGCACAGTCGGAAAGGACAACCAAAAATAAGCCAGAGCCACATCTGACTTCTTCATCCCCAGAGAAAATCTGTCCTAATTTCAAAACAAAGTACTAAATAAAAGAAAAAAAGCAGGTGTAAGACTTGCTATTGTAGAAAGTTGTAGACTTAATGCACCTAAATATCTTCTCTACCAGATGTATAATTGTATCTGTTGAGGAAAAGAGCAAAGTCAATCTGCCCATCTATAATAGCAATTATATATTAATTAGAAAGATATTAGAAAAACTATTTATACATGAGAACCTCTATTCTGTTACACATATCAACAGCAGAAGGGCAGAAGATTTTTAAGTAGGGAAAAAAAACCCCCAACATTTAAGAACTTTTTAAGAAGAATAAACAAACTCGTGACATGCAAACTTACAAACTTAAAGACAACAGTGAAAGCAGTGACATGAATCAGCATTAGAGAACGATGCTTTAGCATTGAAATATCAATATTTTTGTCATTTACTTACATTTGTGATGCTATTAATCTCAGAAACGGTTTCGTCATCAGTAGGACACTGGTATATTCGGATGCCATTGCTAGTTAATTCACTCATTATTTTCTTCTTGAACTCTTGCAGCTCAGTTTTAGAAATGCTGTCTGCTTTGCCTATAACTGGTATAATGTTCACCTATGAATGATATAAATTATATGAGATGTGTGAGACTTCAATTTTGAGGAGGCAACTTTTGGAAATAGAATTGTTTTTAAATAGCTGTTTAAAAGTTCCTCTGCAGTCCAAACCTTTCCATCAATTGGTATCAAATTTTCACAAACAATGAAAAATATTCTCATGGGCATCATTTAACTAACTAGCAACCAATTATTAAATATACTCCCTTAAAAGTAATTGATTCTAAGAACAAGGAAGGAGGTCTCATAGAGCCAAGTACTCAAACGCAAGCAATGCCTACTTATTAACTAAATGCCATTAAGTATTTATATCTCTGTTAAAAAAAATAGATTGTTTAGTTTATAGCAGCAGGGGACATGGCTCAGGTGTTAAATGAAAGCTGGCAGTCTAAATACAGAAAGAAAAGGAAGCTGGCTGCAAACCCTGCCTACCCCTGAGCCTCTTCCTTGGGCTCCTCTCAGCTACATCTTCCTCACCTCACCACTGCAGCACAGTTTCTCCAGCATCTGACATGAGCAGAGGAGCAACACAAGCTAAAGCTTCTTGCTTACCAGTTCTTACACCAATTATTCAGAACACAGAATTCAGTTCTATTAAACTACCCTATTTCCTAAAATAGTGATGGCAGTAACTTGGAAGCAATAGATGCCAATTTTTTCTTACAAATACTATCATCACTCCCAAAATACACATTTTTCAGAACTAAATGGAAATAATGAATACCCAAATGGAAAAAAATGTAAATAATGAATTTTCCAATATTTTGAAAGAATAACATAACTAACTCTTCTGGATTTCAGAAGATGAAGTGTTCTACAGAGTTACTTGATCACAGATGCAAAAAGGAAGGACAGGAAAAAAAACCAAAACAACATACACACTTTCTATTCTTCTGAATATTCTGCCTGAATGGAAATGCCTAAATGTCAAGAACAGATTCAAAATGGTTATTTTTCAAATAAGACTTCTGTCTTAAGCAAAATGTCCCAAAGAAAAAGAAGCAAGCCAGCTCTGAAGTATGACTTCCAAGATTACCTGATGATAGTCCTTAATTGTGTAGCATACATGATCTAAGAATATATGGGGTAAAATATCTAAAATCAAATGAAATTATGGGATTTATTTTTATAATAACTGAACTCATTTAGAATTGTATAAACAATCTGTTACATTAGGAGTAATTCACACCTTCAATCAAATTAGCTGAGGGAAAACAGCATAGGTTTTCTCCAATGTAGGTCTAAAAATGGATGGAACACAGAGTCCTCAGAATTCAATTAACCTCTACTCTTTTTCAACATGAAAGCTGTCTTTTCAATGTGAACATTCTTCAAGCACTCACTAATTAGGACAGAATTTCTTAGAAAACAGAAAAGAAATAGCAGAGAAAGTCTACCAAGAAGAACAGTAAAACACAAAATCATCAGAAACTGTGATTACAGCTATCAACATTGACAGTAAATCACCACAAGTGTATAAAAATTGAAAAGCATAAAATTAACTCTGGCTTTAGATAAGCCACAAAGAAGGAAAAGAAATACATGTAATTGAAATCATTGTTAGTTGCAAGAGCAGGCTGATTTAATCTGTATGTCTGTGAATCAATATAAAAACTTCTGAATATTCTTTCCGAAGGAAAAAAAACCTAAATCCCCAAGGCACTTTACTGACTTAACCATAACCTGCATACAATTCTGTGAGAATGAATTAGAACTGCAGAGCTATTAGTTGAATAATCACTATTTCCAGGAAGAAAGAGTACAGGAGAAGATCCTTTTGTATGTGAATGAAACCTGGCTTGTCTGTAGTGATGCCGTCCTAAGCAAAACTACAGAAACTACAGGATTTTCCAGTGTCTAAATGCTAGAGTCCAAATTCTTAGCTAGTCATCCAATCCATAACAGAGAAAAATAAACTGACCACAGATACTCTGTTTTTTCTTCAAGGACTGCAGAGAACAGGATGAACCTGATCTATCCCAAGAACCCTCGGTACCTCTGAGCTGTGTAATCTGCTATTGTTTTGTAGCAGCAGACTGTAACAAAAGTACACAGTGTACACTGCAGTGGATTCAGGAAGAAACTCAAGACAGCTTTCCACATAGATTTACACTTTTGATGGATGCATGTGGCTGTACCATCTTCTCTTTATGGAATCCTGTGCTCAGTGAATACACCCAGGGACTCCCACATCCTGGGAAATTCCAAGTTCTTAACTGCCACTAGGAGAATGCAGTACTAAAAGCACCACAAACATGCTCCACAACAAGATGGAAACAAAACTACAGTTAAAGCACATAACTCTTTCTGTGTGTATATGGGTATTTCTGTAGTAAGATCAGAAAGAATCCATTGCAAAGGGATAAAACAACACAGTTACATGTGGTTTATGCTCTCTCTGTGCCAAAGCAGAATTAAAAATTTTTGCAGTAGGTGCAAAGAAGTCAAAATTCCTCACAGCAGAACTACTTTTGGTTTATCCTGATGGAAGTATTTTCTTTAGACGCTGGAATTTGAAGATCTATATCCTTTTCTTTTGAAAGAAACACTGTTTTAAAGGAAGTTCAGTAAAGAGCAGGCACAACCTAGAAACCAACAACACAGCACACAGAAATGTGCTCTCCCCTACCTTTGTACCACCATACCTTCCCTTGTCTGCTATTGATAAGTTCAGAATGCAAAATACATCCACAAACAAAGGAACAAAAATTCCAAATGTGCTTATCAAACACAAATGTGGACTATACAGCTGATTTAATCCATTGATATCTTGGAAAAACTTCTCTGAAACAAGAAAATGCAGGAAGAAAATTTAGTGGGAGGGGCTCTAATACAGCACAAAGAAAAAGGCGAAAGGCACAGAAAATGCATTTAAGTTTTCAAAATTTTCAACATTTCAACAAATTAAATCCAAATAATATAAGGTTTCTTAAAATAGGTTAAAGATTTAGCTTCACACAGCCCCATTACAGGAAGAAAGTTAAGGATTTAGAAAATGCAAGTAATTTCACTAGAAAGTGCTATTTCAAAGCTTTCTAAACAATTCAATATGTTAAGGCACTACTGCAGCCTATCACAGAAAAAGCCACATGGGCAGAGTGTTCTGTTCATGGCTCTTCATGCCTCCTCAGTTATCTAAAATAAAGAGCTTCAGTGTTGCAGAGCTTTTTAGATACCAACTTTCCAGCAGTCCCAAAACTAGAAACAAGCTTAATTAGAAACAGTAAAGTGCTTACAGAAGGTACCCTAACCAATCTCACTACTATGCTTATGGTTTAATAAAAGTAAAGTTGGTGTGGTTCAACTTTTTTTTGTATTTTTTTTAACTTTGTTGTGATTCTTTTTTCAATGTTCTTGCCATATGTCTCTCCCTTTTTGATTTGTAAATAAACAAGTGATGAACTGCAAGCTACATGCAGAGCCCATTTATTTGGAACTTTAAGTGTATCAGTACAAAAAAAAATTACAAAACCAAATTCATCAATATAGATCTGAAACATGGTAGTGGACCTAAAAGTTACAAGATGCTTTAGAAAGTAAGACAAATTCTTGGAACTGTTTCCAAGTCTTACCTTACTGTCTAGGCTTCTCATAGTTAACAAATCTATGGTTTTTAGAGAACGGCCTGTAGGTGAAATGAAATAGAGGCAGACATGGATGCGAGTATCATGGTAGCTAAATAAAGAACGTATAACTTTCAGTTCTTCCTCGAGATAGGCTTCAAATTGTGCATCTACATAATCCACTATTGGCTGATAGCTGTAGGAAATAAAATTTAACAACCAGATATTAGCTACTCCTAAACAGAGACAGACTAAGAAGGGAATTCTCTTGTATTGTTCTGCAGATTTTTGCTTTACATGTCAAAAGGCTGCTCAAGTAGGGCAGAAAATTATGTGTACACAGTAATCCTAATTTCTGAAAAATTACTCAGAAAAGAATTGTGCATCTAATACAAACAAAATATTTCCTAGCTACTACCATTAGTGAAAAAAACTATATAATTATGATTATAACAAACTTCCCAAGTGATGGTTTTATATTTTTGCAATTAAGTTGTGCAAATGCAGAACTCTTAAACATAAGGAAGATACACAACCTCTTAGGTACAATACAAGCAAAGAAAGAATATGTAACTAATAGTACCAAGAAACAGGATGAACTTTATCATCTGAAGTACTGTACACAAGAGGGTTCTTAAACAATAGGCAAAAACTAAAATGAGAAATGTTAGAGAATAAAAATCTGATTCATAGTAAGTACAGTTTAAGTATACTTTATCCTACCTAAAACCAGAGTCTAATGTGCTTTCAAAAAGAAAGTTTTGCTAGATGTAGAAACAGTGCACCCTTACATTTCTTCTGCTGCTCAAAGCTGACAAAGCAGATCAAACTCTCTCGAAATCCAGAAGCAGCCGTTACACACCAAACCAAAAGGACAAAAAGGCACCTCCTATACCACACATCAAAACCTCTAACAGCTATACCAGTATCTACTTGCATCTCCTTCATCCAATTCACCACCAGCAGCTATTATCCAGTCATATCATGAGCCACAGCCGTCATGATAATTTTAACATGACTCTCTAACCTTTCATTATATGAGTACCCCCATTCAGGTACTCACATGGCATAAATCCTTTACAATTACCTCGAAAGAAACAAAATCTGCTGAGACAGTTCAATCCTGTAAAAAGTTACGAAAGCAGAGACTCAAAAAAAGTTCTGAAAGACACCAGTGTGCTGCCTCTACATCTTCTGACTAAGCTGATTGACACAAAACACAAAGGCCTTTGATAATCCACATGATTAAACTTCCAGTTTAAGTCTTCAATAAGTTACAATGAAATTGTTAAAAACCCTGTAGATTTAATCTATATAATCTACAGTACTTTATAATCTGCTTGGTTGTTTAAAAACCCACCCATTGAACTCCCTGCTTTTCTCCACCCCAAAAGAAACTACTGCATGTACACACTTTTATAAAAGATTAAGAAAAATTTCATAAAGAAAAGGGCAGAGTTCATCTGAATTATAAAATAATTTCTTACATGAGAAGAACAATGTGTTTACTTTGGCACACAGGGAAAGCAGTCAACCATCTACTTGGAATACATGTAAGACAACCACTTACTACAAAAGCCCAAAGTAAAATCAACTTGCACTTAAGACCAAAACTTCAGCCTCCACACCAAAATAACAGTGACAAGAGGGCACTTACCTATCTGCTTTGTTCATCTGGTCACCAAACCCCACTGTTTTCACAACTGTCAGCTTCAAAAGAACATTACTTTCCTGGAGTTCAAAAGTCTGGGCTCTAAGTCGCACACTTGACAGAAAATGAGTTGATGGAGAGTCCTCAAAATCCGTGTTAAACAAACTGCTCACCAAGGCTGATTTCCCAATTCCAGTTTCCCCTAAAGTTAAACAGAAGGGTTGGAGAAGACATTTTTCACATCAAATAAATACATAATAATCTCAGAAAGCGTACACAAAAACTCAACTGATTTCTCTGAGCAAAATTGCACATTTGTGCATTCTTTCAGTGAACACTAAATATATTTTCATTATTTTTTCATCCTACATATAAGGGTAAATTATCAGCTAATGAGTAATGAGCAGAACAGTGTCATGACACTTTAGTTTCTTTAAAAGTCTGAATTAACTTCCTATAGATTTTGAAAAGTTAAGTATCTAGCTGTGAAACCAGAGATTCAACAAACATCTTTTAAGAATAAGGGTAAAATATTAGAGCAAAAAATTTGATAAGCATAGAAACATTTCAGTAATATCACCTTAGAATTTTGGAAGTTTTTTAATCTGAAGCTCTTTGTTACAGGTGTAAGCCCCATTTACTCAAAAAAATCCAAAAGGCTGCTGATAAATGAATAAATGACTGGCATACATTTTCAACATTTTTTGGTCTTCATATTGTTTAGGAAACCCAACACACAAACCCAAATAAACAAAGCTGGGAGAAGGGGTGGAATTACAGTTCAGGCTTGACATTAAAGAAAGTGTTTAACACCACAACTGGATTTAAATTCCAGTCACTTCCTAAGATGGATACACCACTAAAGCCTTTAGGCACCCAGATCCACTCACCAATGCAAAGAATGTTGAAGCAGAAGCCATGCTTGATGGATTTCCTGATCAGTTGGTCAGGTAAGCTATCAAACCCAACATGTGCAGACAGGGACAAAGTTCGACAGCCAGCATTTTGCTAGAGAAAAATAATTTTAAAGTATCAGTTAACAATGGCAATAAAAATTCTACTAGAAAATTAAACTCATTCCTTATGATTTCACGTGCAATGAAGAAAAGCCAAAGTCTGAAAAAAAAGACCTGCCAAATGAGCTTTCGTCCATGATTTGAGGAAAAATTTCAATTTACTTTACAGAACAATTTGAATGCTTAAAAGGAAAAAAAAAAAAAAAAAAAAAAGGAAAAAAACCCCAAACCAAACAACCCTATGAAACATGAATGAAATAAAGTAGACAAATCCAACTGAAAATGCAAACTGAAAACTGTAGGGAGAAAATAGATCACAGTTGGTTTGCTCTTAGAAAATACAAAAAAAAGGTACTAAAAAAATCTAAGCATCAGAATTCAAAATAGAAAGCATAATCAGAGGAAGGTATGCATTACCAAATGGAACTCATTCTGAGGAGCTGGAACTGAAATTGCTATGAATGATGAATGTCAACTAAAACATTATCTACACTCATTATATGCACCAGAACTCTGAGACAGCATTATATCTATTTCATTGAAATATCTAAAGGTGCACATTCCTTTTCAAACATCAGTTAGCAATCTAGAACCATGACATCAAGGCACTGAGCACACTAAAATGCATAAGGCTAAAAGGAAATATCTTGATCCACGCAAACGAACTGTATTTTTAAACAAACATTACACATCAGAAGTAGAAATGGCGACAGCTCCATGCTATTCTTTCTCTTATATTTCCAACGCACATGGAATTGGAAACCATTACTGTTTCCTGTGAACATGCACATGGTCAAGAGTAGGAAATTTTTTAATCTAACACTTAAAAGCCCATTAAAGTGACACCTTTTCTAATAAGTATGCATAGCAAGTCTCAAAATTCTTGTAGCTAGAAGGATATGGATATTGCTCATGGCATATACTCATCCTCTTCTTTACTTGAACAGGACTTTCTTGTATGGGCTTACAGACTGCACTGCACCAACTCTCATTTTAGATTCCTCTAATTAGATAATTCCATTTTAGACTAATATGAGGGAAAATGCATATGCAAAGTGAACAGTTTAAAGAGAAAATATTACATCTTTGGGCTATTAAAAAAAGCATGTTCAAAGCACATCAGAAAACAAAATTTCTCAAGGCATTCTACCTGAGAATTACTACCAAAAAGTGCTGTGAAACACGGAGCCCTGTCAGTTTCCTGTCCATTTAAAGACAAGTGCATCTGAGACAGTGGCTGCACATCTACGAACTCCAGCTACTCAGTCTGATCTCAAAGCACCTCTATTGCCACTAGGATAACACAGTTCCTCTAACACAAACCACCCAGCCTCCACACCACAAGCCAGTGCAAGAGGCTCAGTGTGACTGCAGATGGGAAGCCTTTCACCTTCATGCCATCAGCATAAATCCCAACCTGTGCACTGCCATTTGTAACTCTCCAAACAAAAAAACCCTCACAGGAATAAATTTATTTCCTTCTGATGTCCACATATTAGAAAGATAAATTATTTTGTCAGCAGAACTGCCTTGTTAAGGCTTAGGGCTTGACATGCCTCGATGATCTCAGACCTGGAGGAGGTTAACAAAGCCTGGGGAGAAGGATGTGCTAATGAGAGTGGACACAAAAAACACAAAATTTACGGGCCACAAGGACATTTGGCAGAACACCCAATATAAGGAAGAAACTAACAAAGCCAAGTCAGCAACTATGCTGAAATAACTGACTCCGCTCCAAGGAAATTTTAGCAGGAGGAGATTGTGACCACCAACTCAAGAAACCCACCATCTCAAAAGAAAAGAAAAACCGCGAATGTGATTTAATTATCATGACAAACGAGAGAATCACAACCAACAGAAGGTAGACACTAATTAAGAAAACATGCAACTAGTAGCCAATGACCCCTGATTTCCTTGTTTGCTAAAATCTATAAATGTAGTTTTGATGATTGGGCAGCTAGCATTTTGTGGGTCATCACCTAGCACCCCACTTTGCACAAACTAGAATAAAGAAATAGAAGTAGCTTGTTTCATATGTAAATTGCTGCTGCCTACCAAGCAGCGAGCACTCACTCATTCAGGACAACACCTCCCTTCCTCACACAAGAATCACTGTGTAAACCTATTCCACTTGACAGCAACTGAAGCATTGTCTTAATAGAAAAGCAGAAGCCACATTTTTCCCTCCGAAATTTTCCACGGACATCGGGTGTCAATTTCTTTGTCAATAGCAGAGAGACCACAGGATATCTGCATTCTTACTACATCTAAAAAAAAAAAAAAAAATCACCTAGTTGATCACCGAACTTATATCACCTAAATATCACCTAACTCACACCTCATTCCTTCCCTCAACCCCATTTTTAAAGGTTGGTGGCATAACTACATTTCTCCAGATTCGTTAAACTGGATGGGGCTCTGAGTGACATGGTCTAGTGAAAACTGTCCCTGACAAGAGCAAGAGGGTTGGGACCAATCTTTTTGAGATCCCTTCCAACCGAAACCATTCTAAGAGTCTATGATTTAATCAAATATTTTTGTTTATATAAAGTTGTCTTGCCCATCAAAAACAACATGAAAAAAACCATGGCCTGAGACTGTGTAACATTTAAAAATTATTTCTTTCAGAAAAAAAAAACCCTAAAATAAATAGTAATCTTTTAAATTTACCACATATTTTTGACCAAAACTGCACAACACCATCCCTTACCAAAGCAAAAGCTAAGTCTCAGACTACATGCATCACTCTATGCAAACCTCTGCTGAACCAGACTAGCAGTCTAAGCAAGAAACGAGCTTGCTACCGGATTTGTAGATGTGACTGAAAGTTGCCCAAAACTCGAAGAAAACCGTACCCAGAGTGTGATTCTGCAGGGGGTGAGGGTCGCGGCAGCCCCGACGAGGTGCTGGGAAGGATGTGGCGCCCACGGACATTCCCCCATGAACGTGTCCATGGGCACCCCAGATCCGACTCCTCCTGAGCCCCGAGTTCACTACTACCTACGGGCATGGGAACTACGCTCCAGCACTGTCGTGTGGATGGCCTCAATGTCTTCAGAACATTAAGTTGACAACTTTGCCATTACACAGAAGTAACTCTTCATTACACAAGATTCAACTTACTACCTGAAATACGCGATACGCCAGGGGAGCGCTAGGAAGAGTGACACCTGAACACAAGTTCCTTTAACACCAAGTGCTCTAAAAGCCTGACAGCTCCGGGAACTAGCGTGAGGAAGGAGCCTTCACAGCTAACCCGACCCGCACCCTGACGCGGCCCTCAGAAGCGCCCGGCACGGACCAGGGGCAGCGCCCGGCGCCCCACAGCGAGGGCAGCACATCCACCTCTTCCTTCCCACAGTGCGAACGCCACCCTCCTTCCCCTCCAGGTGCCGGCGCTGCCGGGCCCCTCCGTCCCCTCAGCCGCGCCGGGCTCACCCCCGACACAGGGGCCGCTCACCCACCGCTCCCTGTGCCGCGGAGGGGACTTACCAGGTGCTCCTCGGTATCGGAAGCGGCCATAGCCCCGCCACAGATACAGAGAATGAGGGAGGAGAGTAGAGAGAGAAGGACGCAGCCAAAACTGCCGCCGAAGGGGAGAGCCACGCGGCGAGGAGGAGCGCGGGGAGGGGATGCGGCCGCGGCTCCGCCGCCGGGGCGGGCGCTGCTAGCGGGCGCCTCCCGGCCGGAGGGCGGCGCGGTGCCGCCGCCGCGGCAGTGATTGCCGGGCATGCTGCCGCTGGGAGGAGGGGCTCGGGCAGCGGCGGTTCTGCCGCGCCCGCGCCACCACCATCACCAGTAGCGGCAGTAGCAGCAGGAGGAGCGCCGGCGGCGCGATGGGGTAGCGGCGGCGATGGCGGAGCCGGCGGAACTGCAGCAGGAGTCAGTGGTGCGGTTCCTGGCGGCGCGGGGCGGGCGGGCGCGGAACGCGGAGCTGCTGGAGCATTTCCGGGACTGGCTGAACCCCGCGGAGCCCTCCCGCCGCGCCGCCGCCCGGCATCGCTTCAAGGAGCTGGTCAACGCAGTGGCCACCGTGCGCCAGGAGCCCAGCACTGGCGTCAAGTACGTGCACCTCCGCCGCCGGTACTGCGCCCCCGAAACCCCCGCCGCCGCCGCCCCCCTGACCCCCGGGGAGCAGGAGCCGGCGGCGGGGAACAGCGCGAAGCAGCCGAGCCCGCCGCCCTCCCCACGGGTAGGGGCTGAGGAGACGCCGCCGGCAACAGGCGAGGATGCCGGCACCCGCCCGCAGCCCCCGGGGCACCGGGGCGAGCCGCCCCGACCGAGCCCGGCGGTGGCTGGGGGCCAGCGGAGGGGCTCCCGGCGGGGGCCACCGCCCGGGCGCGGCGAAGGCGGCGGCGGCGGCGAGGAGACCGCGATAGCGACGGGCCCGGGGCGGCCCCCGGCGACGGACGAGGCGGGGGCGGCGGAGGGAGCGCCCGGGGCGGCGGCGCAGGGCGGCGGCCGGCGGAGCCTGCGGGAGGCGGCGCGGGGCAGCTCCCCACAGCTGAAGCGCGGCGCCCTCCCCGGCGGGGGCCGCGGCCGCGACTCGGACAGCGCCTCGGTGGCCTCGTCCTCCGCCGAGGAAGAGGGGAGCACCACCGGCTCCGTGGCGCTGGACCCCCTGGAGCACGCCTGGATGCTGTCGGCCTCGGACGGGCGGTGGGAGAGCCTGGAGGGGCTGCTGAGCTGCGAGCCGGCGCTGCTCTGCAAGCGGGACTTTATCACCGGCTTCACAGTGCTGCACTGGGCCGCCAAGCACGGGCGGCAGGAGCTGCTGGCCACGCTGGTCAACTTCGCCCACCGGCACGGGCTGCCCGTGGACATCAACGCCCGCACGAGCGGCGGGCACACGGCGCTGCACATCGCCGCCATGCACGGCCACGCCGAGGTCGTCAAGCTGCTGGTGGGAGCCTACGACGCCGACGTGGACATCCGCGACTACAGCGGGCGCAAGGCCGCGCAGTACCTGCAGCAGGGCACCTCGGGGGACATGCGGAACCTCGTGGGGGCCCTGGAGGAGGAGGAGGAGGAGGAAGGGAATGCTGGTAATGGGAGCGGGCGCTGGAGGCTCTCCAAGGTGTTGCCATCTAATCTCATGAACTACCGGCTCTCCCACCACCATCACGGCACTGGGGAGGAAGCTGAAGGTACGGATGGGGCAGCCGTGCTGGGCAAAGGCAAGGAGATGACCAGGAAAGCCTCTGGCAGCGGACGGATGAAGCCTCGGCTTAATAAGATCCGCTTCAGGACTCAGATCATCCACAACACGCCCTCCTTTCGTGGTGACCCTGAGGAGGAAGAGCATGAGGAGAAATCCCTGAAATCGTCATTCAAGCTCAGGCCAAAGTCCAATGTGTTTGGATAAGGCCAGGGAGCAGGAGGTCTGGGAGGTGGATGCACGGACCAAAGTGCCCTCAGGTGTAGCACAGAAGGTGAGGCAGGTACGAGTCTGCACTCGTGGGCTCTGGCCAGAAGGGTCCTGAGTATCTCGCTTTAGCTCCCGGTTTGGTGCGGTCAGTGAGCTCAGCAGGGCTCGGGGAGCTCACAGCTCCTGGGAGCAGCTGCTCCAGCCGGGCCCTCAGAGCTGAAAGGGGAGGCAGTGGGTGGGTTGAGAAACACTGGGGTGTTTAAAAGCTGTGCTCCTTTCTCTCTAAAAGCAGGCTTTGGGATCATAAACCTGTGTTAGTGGACCTACTAGGATTAGTGAAGTGAGTGGGGGAAAGAAAAGTGCAAATGCTTTACTCTTACACTATCAACTGGTACTATAAACTATCAGCAAACAACTTGCTATGGCAGAAGAACACCTCAGTAAAATACAAGTATACCTTAAGTTTCTCTTTAACAGCAATACCACCTGGCACAATGTGGAGTTGGGTACACAAGATGAGATGGTACAGAATGGTTTCCTGTCAGAATCCAAGCTTCAATCCATCGAAGAGTTGAGCCTGTGTTGACTTTATGCATTGAAAATTGCTTGATTTGACATCATGAATACATTATTTTTAAAAATAATAATCCATTGCACTGCAAGCAATGAATAAAGTTAACCATGTGCAGAAGTCTTTGCTGTCTGAGGTACTACTGAACTTGCTTATTGCTGTTGGAATACTAATACAAGATAATAGAAGCAAAGAGTTTTTATATATATTTGGTATCTTATGTTTTGTCTTAGGCAAAGCAATTTTATTTTGATCACTGTGAATTCTCAAGTGCCAGACCTAGCGCAATTCCAGTTATTAAGTCTGGTCAATTCTTGTTGATGTCCTTTGTGTAACTCACTGCATTTAAATTCAGAAAATCGTGTTGTATGTGTTACCTGTGAAAGTCGTTCTCTTAGAATAAAAGAGCACAGACACCATTGCATGAAATCTTCATGAAACTCTAATATGGTTCTGTAATGTAATAGCTACAGGTCTGTGTTCGCTGGGAACTCATGTGCCAATCCCATCAACTCACACTGTGCAGAAATAGAGAAAAAAGGGGAAGAAAACAAAAAAAAGGAAGGTGTGTGAATTCATGCGTAGGGTGAAAAACTAGAACTCCAAAACCCAATCCCTGTTTATCATTCTGAACGAAGCAGCATAATTACATATTCTAGTTAAGTGGTGGCAGTGGTGTTTGAGTTCTGTTAAACCTATATTTCTAGAGAAGTGATAGCCAAGGCTTTGAACTGTTGTTTGACAGCCTAGTAAGTCTTAATCTGATTGCCGAGCCTATCCGTCTGCTCAAGCTTTCGGAAACCTTGAATCTTGTTTCTCTGCTTTAAAGGTAGCAGTTCAGTGAAACCTAGGAGGCAGATTTATGTCCATATTCAGCTTTCCTTAAGAGCTGAGGTACTGAGCTGACCCTGGATCCTGAATGCTGCTCAGTGTGGCAGCTCATCTGTGTTTAGTGGTTAAAGTATGGCCAGTTTCAATGCAGCATCTGTCAAAGCACGTTCCGAGTTGGCTTCCTTAAGATGCATGTGCGTGCCTGGCCTGTAGCTAACCAAAAGTAGATAGGCTTTGACATGTTAAAATCCAAATTTGAAACACTGATTAAATGCATGCCACAAGCTGTAGAACACCTCACAGGAAAACTGCTGCTGGGAGTGTGCACTTTTGAGATAAAAGCCAGGTCTCTGTGGCTGTTGCTAGTGACTTATATTTCTTGTAGCGACGGGAAGGAAGTGCTACTGGTGCATTGGCATCAGACTTTCCATGCAGATAAACAACCAGTTTCTGCACTTCATGTCAAGATCTAATAAATGACAGTGTTTGCACAGGCATGCAAGTAACCCTTCACTATTTCTGGCAAAAGCTGCGTTAAAAATAATATAGAACCTCTGCATAGGTGCTGGTCATTACTTCTGTGCAAAAAGATTAGAAATTATAGAGAGGTTCAGCTTTAGTTTACAGTTTATAAGCTATAATGTTATAGATTTCATGTGCCTTCATTTTGGGTTTTTTGCCTCAAATGCAATGGAGATCAGTCTTGCAAACCGCTTTTTCTTTATGTCTGTGGGACGGGACCAGAAATTTTCCCTCAGTCCTCCCTGTTTAAACTGTGCACCTGTACAGTGGGGTGTCTGAAACAGGGAAGATTAATCATACATATTATGATGTAGAGCTAATTCTGTTGTAACAGAAAAGATAATTAGATGCCTAAGTCTTAAACTTTCCTCTGCAAGATAAATAGGTTTTTAGACTTCTGTAGGAGGTTTTCTGACTGAACACTGAGAACATGAGTATTCTTCAGTACGGGCACATCTGAATTGAGCACATATTCCACGCAACTACTGATGTCCAAACCTTATTAAAGTTGTTTTCTGCTTTGAGAGTTTATGGTTCTTTCACACAGGCAGTTGGGTGAAGTGTTTCTCTCTTCACATGCAAATAGCAAAGAATTGCACAAAAATGCCAAGTCTTAGACAGCTATTGGGTTACAGGGAAATAATTTTAGGGTTTTGAATAGAGCATACCTTGGATTTTAGGAGATTAACTGGAATATAATGTTACATAATACAGTAGAACTTTGCAGATTATTAAGGGAACCTGAAAAATGATCAAAAGATGCCTCATTTATATCATTATTTGAAGTATCAAGGTGAAATTGCTGGTCCACTGATACTGTTTAGCTGTCAGTTAATGAAATTTCACCATAACGATGCAAAGGTCTTTGCAAGGTGGGGTGCGACAGAGCAAATATCTCTTTTGGTGTTTGAAATGTACAAAAGAATGGCTGGATAACCACTCATGTCTCTCTTCGCTATGGGAATAAAGCACTTTGATTTCACATTATGACTTGTCACATTCCACATGGTTACTTTTTATAATATGACCTAAAACTTAATGGTTTCTTTTTTTTTTAGGTAGGGAAGACTTGATGCCCTATTTCAGTATATTTGCAGTCTAAAGGTATGCTTGAGTCAAATATTTTGGATACATTGCCTAGAAAGATGTGACTGAAATGTGACTGAAATAAAGTTGTATGGTACAGAAAACTGGAGCACTTACTGGTATCTTTTTAATGGTTTGTCTGAAGTTACTGAATGTGTTTGTTCACTTTTTATGATGGTGTGTAAGGCAGAAAGACTGTAATGTAACATGTGGTATCTTTTTTTGTACTTTATGTTCAAGAAATTTTAGAGGCCTGGAAGCCTGTTGGGTTTTATTAATACACTCTTTGTGGTTGTCTCTCTGAATGGTTATGAGTTGAGAATCTGTAAGCTTTAGTTTTATGAAATAAAAAGAGCTCATGAATGCTCTGAATTGGCTCCTGTATGCTGCATACTTAGGTGCATATTGGTGTTAAAACTATCTACTGGTTTGTGTTGATTTTTTTTTTTTTCATTATCAGGATGTTTGATGCTGTCTAGCACTCAAGCAATAAGACATGGAAAAATACAGTAAAGTTGTTTGCAAGACAGTAACATTTTTCTTTGGCAGCTACTTTCTAATAACTCATGTCAATATAAATGAAGAGGCAACAATTTTTGTTGTAGACAAATATGTCTAAATAAGGGCCTGGGAGAGTGGCATTGCTTAACTTAAAATAGTATACTGACCTTATTTCTGTGCAGCTTAATATCTCTGACTCTGGAAAGACTAATACTAGTTTTAGTCACTGTGTAAAGGTCAACACCTAATTAAAAAGGGTTTAGGATTAAGGTATTTTGTAATGTGTCTTAACTACAGCTGGTGGCTACTGTAAAGGGAAGTTTCATCAGCAAGCTAGACTGTGGGATTTTGGTGTATCTAAAAATTCTTTGAAGCTGTTGCCTCACCAGAAGATACGTTAAAACTTCATGTGGCCAGTAGCTCCTAAGAGACATCCAGATTTTTGCTTAAACTGAAAAAAAAGTCTCAGCTGTTACCATGCTTGTGAATCAGAATGCCTGCAGCTCCAAGCCAAGCAACCCTGAATCAGTAGTATGGTGACACAAGTGAGAGAAGAAGGAGGAGGAAGTGTTCTTGGGAACTTAGGAGAGAGCAGAGGCCTGTGAAAGCAGCTGAGGTTATGGGGGAAGTAGAGAACTTGGTAGAAGAGCAGTCTCCATGAGGCTTGCTGATCATGCAATGGCTTGACTAGTTCTTTAGAAAACTGTATCTCAACATGCATCCCTTCTCCTAAAGAGTAATAGTTGACAGAGATGGCTTGCTTAGAGCTCTTAACATAAATTAATGTCTGATGCTAAATATTTGAGTTGGCCCTCTTACCAGCATTTCTTTGTGTGAGTAGTACTGTTTGCAAAAGCACAAACAACTCTTCTATTGAGTGTAGCTACAGCTGTTGCAGCACAGCCCTGGTACATCAGAATAGCCCAAATTCAGGCTTCTCACTGGAAGAGAAGCTGTTCAGCATTGCATTGCTAACTTCTTTTCCATTAGCTAGAAAGGATGGCTAAGGAGATTACTGTCCTGACTTAATACACCTTCAGTTACATAGAATGCATGTGAACCTGAAGACAATAGGCTAAACATCAGAGACTTCATCCAGAAAAAAGTAGTTATGTATTTTGTTTCCAACTTGTTGGCATTGAAGAAAAAAAAAAGGTACGTACTTTCATTTTTTTATGTCCTCATCTGAGTGTGCAAAGGAAGAAGTCTGAGATTAATAGAAGGGATTAGGAGAGGGCTAGCTTTTTCATTTGTGCTAAACTGTGAACAGTTTGACAGAAAAAATGAAATATAAATTCCTAGTTTTGTTATAATGAAATATCATTTTACAGCTGTTTCACAATTTATCTTGTATGATTTTGCAGTTTAGCCAAATTCAGTGTTGACGTGTCCTAATGTGCACTCATTATTGGAAAAACTGAGCCAACCTACTAGGTTTTGTGTCTGCTTTTAATAAAACTGTGTTACAAGTGAGGTGGTTCATCTCCTGTGGTAAAACCTTGAAGAAACCATAGTCTGAGACTTTCGCAAGGAGTGAAGCTGCAAGTGGCACATGAGATAGCAGGTAATGCTCAGGTCAAGGTGCAAAAGCATTGAGTGTTCCTTCAGCTAGACCAGCCATGCCAAATGAGCCATTGTAGTGTATTTAGGTGCACCTGCCCTTCTGCACAGAGAGCTGTAAACTGCCCCCTCCCCTGGGGGCAAGTCACATTAACCAATTTTAACCTGCCCTTGTTTCAATAAGAGGCATTTGGCAAACCCTCAGTGGGACTGGCCAGAGTGACTGAAGTGAGCAGATCCGTATCCATGCATGGCTCTGCATCAGTGCAGGTAAATAAATGATTGCAGCTGGCTGCTATCAGTCTAAAGCAGAAAGCCTGTAGAATGTATCCTTGCATCAACCCTTGGCCATGAAAAGAGACTTTGTAAACCTAATCTCAAATGCTACTAACTACCAGAAAAATTCAGTCATGTGGGCTGTATCTGGGCATTTCCTCACTCAGTACTTCTCTGCTGAAGCCAGAAGCCTTTCACTTTTTCTGGCTGGCTGTTGAGGTGTCCCAGTTATTTCACTTTGCAATTCCTTAAGAGTGCCTGAGAAAGTGGTAGTAGGGTGGGCATAAATAACAGATGTCTTTTTTTAAAGCTGGGTGGGGTGATGGTAGTTTGGGTGGAAGGGGTGACTACTCTGGAAGTGTGTTGGGGGATTTTCTTTTAAAAAAGAGGTAAAGTATGTCTGCAATATATGTTGAGGTACAGAAATCCCTTGGGACATTTCATACTAAAGAGGTGCTGTCCCTTTTACTGCTTTAAATACAAATTAACTGTACAGACTTAGGAAGATGTCTCTGTTCACTGGACATACACTTGGACGATATAAAGCATCCAAGTACCAAGCATCCAAGGACAGCTATATTTGCTATTTCTTTTCCTTGTTACTTGTGGCATAGTGTCTAACTATAGATCTGTCTTATGGAAGTGACTGTGACAGTTTGGGACAGTATAACTAGAGGAATGCAGGTAAGTCCTGCTGGTTCAGCTGCTTCCCACAGCAGGACCGTTAGCTACCAACCTCACACTTGTCTCCTGCAGCTTGAAATGTCCCCTTCTGCCACAGCTGGGCTGGGTGGAACAGGCTGTGGGTGTCATAGCTGCCACCCCTGCAGTCTGCAGCTGCACAGTGTGGCTCCAGCACTGGTGAGTCTGAGGCCTTTTGAAGCTGCTGGCAGTTCTTCTATGGAAGCAGAGATGCTACTTCACTTTGACATTTACACAGGTATTACACCTTCACGTGTGAATAAATGACATGAACTGAACTATGGGTGAAACTGGAGGGCTGAGAAGACTTTTGGTGTTAAATGGTGCAAAGTACCTCATGTAGCTGACATAGCTAATTAACAGTTTGTTATTAATATCTAGCTACTGACAGAAATCAGCTGGATCAACACTGAACAGTAGCTTTAGTAGGAAACTAAAGAGTTGCTGCAAGGTTATCATATCTGTTCATAAGATACATAATTGTTCTTAAAGACATCTCATTAAGGATATATTTTCTTTGCAAAATGAGTTGTATCATTGGTAAGAGCTTGCAGTACTACATCCTTAGTATGTCTTTTAAAGACTGTATAGTAAGTCACTGACAGCTGTCAGCATGCTAGGCAATATTAAGCTTTTGGATATTGAAATTTTCTCAACTTTGAAAGTCCGCTTCAAGTTCCTGCTGTAATCTCAACTTCCTTGTAGCCAATTTTTTTTTTTTTCTGGAATAATTAAAGAGCTGGGCAGTTCTTGAACTTGTGTATGCAAGAGAAATGTGGTAGTGGCCTTTATCCTGTGTTTACATTTGTGAGGCTTAAACAAAATGAGAACCCAAAACTTTTCCTGGATCTGGAGTAAATTTATCTGAAGCAATGTTTGCAAACAGGCAAACACTGAGGAGAGACTTCTGCTGTATGCACTGAGGGAAAGCCTTTTTCTCTCTGATATGTCAGTGGTACAGAATAACAGTTGTTATTTTTTGCATCATTGCAAAGTTTTTGGTTTAACTCGGAACAGACAACAAATGAGTGATTTTTAAATTAAAGTGTGATTCCTTCTAGGCTGGAACCTTGGCTAAAAGCAAAGCAACTGATTTTCCACTAGGTAGCAAAGTCCTGCTATGAAAAAGTCTGCTGATGGTGCGTGGCAAAGCACAGAGCTCTCGGGATCAGAGTGCTGTTCATCTTTATCCTCTTCTTTCCCAGCTACTTCCCATACATCCCCTTTTATCCCCCTCTCTTTCTATTTTTTAGTGACTTGAATTCTATAAATATTGATTAATAGATCTATAAAGCTCAGAAAATGGGGATGCTTCAAATAAAGAACTCTCTTTATTAAGAATTAAATGGAAAAATTAAACATAAGCTTTCCTTTTCCACTTGAAATTTTAGGAGTGGAAAGAACAAAAATTGTGTTGATGATAAAGGTCTCCACATACATCATTTTAATTATAACAGAGACAAAACTAAAAGTTGGTGGCAAATGTGGAAAAAGACCACACTTTCTCCTTGAGGTTTTAGTGCTGTGTACCTTAACGTCAGCCCTGTGAATCATACTCTGCTTTGAACAAGAAACACTGCACATAGTTCACAGGATTTCCAATGTTATTTCATTAACCATGTCAAAAGGAGTATCTTTTGCAGGGGTCCTTAACGGGATTTCTGGCTCACTGGCATGCCCACATCATCCTCTTGCAGATAAGCCCCTTTTGATCCCTGTGTAACTGAATCTACATTCTGGAAAACTTTGCCTCACATCCTGTTGAAAGTCCAATACTGTAACTTTACAGATGACTAACATTTTGAAAGTTCACTTTCCTACACACCCTTCAAAGTGAAATGCCTGGTGTAAAGACAATGGAAAAAAAAAAGCAGTCTATCTCAGACGTGCCAGTACACAGTGAAAAAGCAGTGCAGGGCAACAGCTCCTGTCTTTGTAACTGTTGAATTATTTTAATGTTCCACATTCCACACTAGTGCTCTTCAGGGGGCCTTTTCTGATTTAAATCCCTCTGACCTGTTACAGTAGTAAGTCAGTAATGAAGAATTAACTACTCTCAGAATACTGCTTTTTCACCAGTGTTCTTTTTGGAACTGTTGCCATAATCTCTGGAATTCTTGTTGCCAGTGTGGCTTTTTTGAAATGGCCCTTCATGGGTTTGTGAAAGTTTTGCCTGCTTGTTTCACTTGAGATTGAATTAAACAACAGGGAAATGATACTGAAGGAGTGAAAATTGATTGATTGGGAGAGGAGGAAATGCATTAAGCTGTCCAAACATGCATTAAGCTGTCCAAACTCATGCTGATGACGTTGTACAGCATCCCATAACATCAGATGTTGTTCAAATACAGGAAAGGAAGTAGCTCCTCACCTACAGTCCCTAGAATCTTTGTAGCCAGCTTAAATGGTGGCAGCCAGGCAGGGATCATGCCTTCAAAATAGAGCAAATGTTTGCAGACACATTAAAAAAACACCAGTCATAATGATTTTGGCTAGATTTTTTCCTGCTTATCCCA